TAATATTCTGGATAATCTGTCGACTAGTAGAAACTATTTCACATTTGGTGGGGTTTAAAGATAAGCCCAGACGTTCTCCCATGTCTTTAATTTTTTTGATGTCCTCAACGAGAAATTCTGTAGTGCCATCTTGGGTACCATCACCCAAGAACCAGATATTGAGCCATTAGCCCTGGGGTCCTTTAAGGTCACACAAGTTTTGGATTAAGAATCAGGTGATAGGCACTAAATTCATAACACCTTAACTGCATAACATTTTTATCAGAGAGCAAATTAGAGTTCCTTTTTCAGAAAATATACTTTATTATGGAAGTATTCAACTCACACTTTTAATTCTTGAACAACTAAGTGATTACTACTCAATGCTGCAAATCCTGGAGGTTTAAGACGTAAGATTCTGGAGGAGCTGGAAGGACTGTGATGATACTGGAGTAGGTCTGGTAGCTTATCAGTGTTTCTCCAGTACACGAACATTTGGTTCTGAATTTTAAACCCATTTTCTCTCGACCTTAGGCTTTACAGCTACAGAATTTCAGATGTAAAGTAAAAGGACACAAGTGCAACTAATGTAACATTTTTATTGTGGCAACGTTTCGCTTGTGTCCTTTTACTTTACATATTGTCGGTAATTCTACCAACTTTATTACAAAATTTCAAATGCATATTTATCAATAAAATGTTTTTATAATTAGTGTTTGATTTTTACTGACGGATTGTTTGCTTGGTGGAAATCACTGTGAACATGTCAAGGCAATAATTGATTAAAAAAGATTTTTAACGAGGTTTAGCTTCTGAGCAATAATGCTTCCTAAACCACTAGCCAAACCAGTAACTTTTGGGTCAACAACTGTGTCCGGGTTAGCAGCGGGGCCAGGGTTAGGCACAGCTTGAGTGAACCCTACCAGGGCGGTCAGGGCCACCACCACAAAGATCAGCGACAACTGTAATAATGAAAGAAAAAATGGTCTAAATACCCTGGTTTCGTAGTTATGTTTCACTATAATGAATTTGACTTCTACCCTTGTAAGAACTGTCTTGAAGTAACTGCTGCTGCGTTTACTAACTTGTAACTACAATGACAAGGTACAAGGTGATACAAAACCAGATAATCATAAAAAATAACTTGTTATTTAACTGGTGATACTGGTATGTAAACTATGCTTGAAGAGCATTTACGTAAATTAAGATCGTAATAAAATTATAAAAAGCAATTTTACGTAAATTCAATATAATACATGTTAATGTGTTTCAGATATTTTGAAACACAAATCTTGGAACATAGTGAAGATCAATCAGCATCAAAAAATGGTAAGAGATATGAGTGGAGGAACATGAACAATATTTTCTGAAAGGATGTACTCACGTATTTCATGTTGATGACAGAGGAGTTATCGAGACGACTGCTTCACGTTGACTGTGTTGACATGATGTTCACAGCTGCTTTTATACAAGATTATGTCACAGGGTCATTGTCTCACGTCTAGATAAAAACTAGATCACACACGTTTACCCTGTCTTGAAAACCTTTGTTAATTATTTAACAGTATCACACATAGGTTTGGTAACGGGTAATATTATAACAATGTTATTGATTTTCAATGTAAATATTGTCTGTTAATTTTACATGTATATATTTTAGACTTGTACAACTTAATAAAATCGTCACAGGATTTTAGTCAGTGTTATTGGCGTGAAGGAAGGAGTTTAAAGCAGGATCAGGAAGGGATGTTGCTGATGAGTTCTAGAGTAATAAGTTAGTTCTGAAGGTGGCAAAGACTCTCACTGCTTCTCTCTACTGCACTCGTAGAAAATAAATTTGGCACCAGATAGTTGTGTTGTTGGTCAGCGTCTTAGTTACTTGATTCACTACAACCTCCTCCTTACATAAGAACATAAGAACATAAGAAAGGAGGAACACTGCAGCAGGCCTGTTGGCCCATACTAGGCAGGTCCTTTACAATTCATCCCACTAACAAACATTTGACCAACCCAATTTTCAATGCTACCCAAGAAATAAGCTCTGATGTGCAGGTCCCACTCAAATCCAACCCCTCCCACTCATGTACTTATCCATCCTAAATTTGAAACTACCCAAAGTCCTAGCCTCAATAACCCAACTAGGTAAACTGTTCCACTCATCAACTACCCATTTTCCAAACCAATATTTTCCCAATTCCTTTCTAAATCAAACTTATCTTTTTTTAAATCCATTAACGCGGGTTCTCCTTGGAAATACCCTCAAGCCCTTTTGTTAATACCCCTTTATTAATACCTATTTTCCACTTAACACTTCGAT